GGTATGAATTGTTAAATTACTCTGTTTTGTAGAATTATGACTAATATTGATATGAAATTGCGATTTTTTTCTAATAGGAAGGTTTCTTTTTCAATTTTTTCATTAATGTATTTAAATTTTTAACATTGGTATGAAAATGGTATAAAATGATTTTTCTTTCAAAAATTTTTCAGTGATTGTGGTTTGTACACGTGTCTATTTGTTGAATACATCAGTAATGGAGTTTTTGATAAGCGTTCTGTTGATATCGATGCAAAGTACCATCGTCAAAGGTATGCCACAATCATATGGCATTATGGAAAAACAAAGAATAATGATGGCGCGACCAGTGAGAGTGAAGTAACTCGCACTATTGCTAGTAAATTTGATGGACCTCGCATAGCAAAAGAACATGCTCCGAATACCAGCAATTATCCCACACCAAGACCACGGAGATCAAATTTGAGATAGTTGATTGCACCTTAGACTTTTTAGAATTACAAGTTTTTTTTTTTTACTTTTGGACGGTATTTTTGTGTTTGTTACAGCTTTAAGTATTTGATATATATAATATCTACTGTTTTATTTCAAAAAGATACCACTTACATATGAATTACAGATTGACTATTGTAATCGCAGGATACTAGTTATATACAGACTGCATTCCAAATGGATACACCATTCTAAAGATAAATTACACATTGACTATAATAATTCTCGGGATAACAGTTATATACAAAATGCATACAAATTGGATTCAACATTTAGAGTTTATGATTTTACAATGTCTTATTAACTAGAAAGAAATCATACTACTAATTTAGAGTTCATGAACTAACTCTGACTTATAATTGGTATCCAAAATGTACACCTTTGGCATCCAAATTCATATTCTAACACAAAAAAATAAAAAAATAAAAAATAAATGAAGTTGGTATCCAACATGTATAAATACCTTGTATAAACGATTATGCCAATGTAAAATAGTGATAATTGTATTTTGTAACAACCTCAATTACATTTTTGTTTTACATTTTTTTCATCCTGGACAATTTACAACCTAATTGTAAATTATATTGTCTTAACAAGCGTGGATTAAGTATTTTTAAAGATGTATGAAGTTGTATACAATCTGTATAAATACTGGAATAAACGAATCTTACAATTTAAAACAGAGATCATTAAATGTTGCACCAACATCAATTACATATGTTTTTTGTTTTTTTTTTGAAAATGGATAAAATAAGACTTTTTAATTAATTTTAACAGATTAGAGTGAATTAAGGAAAACAAATATTCCTAATTAGTTTGAATCTCCTAAATTTATGCTAATTAAAAATTATCACCAATCAATTCAAAATTAATTAATACATCTATTTTCCATTTTTTCAGTTTTTTTTCTTTATTATTTCTAATTCCATTTTTTTAAAATTTTCGTTTATCTTTTTTTTTTTAAAAAAAAAAAAGTTTTTTCCAAATAATAAAAACATTTATTTTTTTTGTAAATTTGTTATAACCTAAAATTTTTAATGCTATATCTTGAAAGTCTAAATCTACTGCTATAGCTTGAAAATAGTACTATAATATATGTCATATATGAAATTTACACTTTAAAAAAAAAAAAAATCCAAAGTCCAGTGATAAGATGGAAAGAAATTGTTAACATGATAATTCTCCAGTTTACATACTTCAAATCAATGAGGATTTACATCTAAATTTTTTTAGTCCCTGCTAATGAATTCTAACGAAAAACTTCAAAGGTTAATAGCATGTTTGATCAAACTTCTGTGGCGTGCTCAACTACAATCTCAAACGAAACCGAGAGTGTTGGGCCATAAGAATGGGCTGTTTGTTGTTAAGTTCGGGCTACTTTCTCCATTCTAAATTCAATTGGGCTCATCAGTGAATTGAGACGAATCCATATGAGTATGCCCACTTTTATCCTTTTAATTGTTTACTTGACCTTCAAACGAACAAAGAGAAAAATTCTCATTGTTGTATCTTGCATAAATTTCTTTGATATATTTTGGTAAAGTTTAAAAGGATTTTATTAAACTTCTATTTGTGTGTAATAGACTAATAGGTTGTCATACCAAAATACCCTTGTCACCTATCTAAATTGATTAATTTGAGTCAATCTTGTCATTAACTAAAGGTTATTGGAATTTACTCAAATAAAGATCACATATATACTTCTAATAATTGCATACAATGATGTGTGTTTAGTGTTTACCTTACATTATTATATGTACAAGGTAAATCTTTATGGCTGATATTTTGGTGGAATCCAATGATCAATATGAGAAAATTATGCTTTCACTTCCTTAAATATTACTCACGTCAATTCTAGTCCATAATTTATGATCGATAATGATACAATATCTTGTTTGTTTAAGAGAAAGAGGATTATTTGACCCATAAGTAACAATAAGCCTATTTTGGATTATACTATTAGCAGTAGAATTATTTTTTGATCAAATTATTGACGATAAAATATTTTTAGACCAAATTATTAACTTAATACATTTATGTGCAGTGTTAACCCTTTTTTGTTTTATATAGTATCATGTTTGTCATTGTCTTGTTATGATAAAATGGATCAGATCTACAATACTCACCACTCCTTTGAGTACATATTAAGTAAATTGTTGAGAGTTTTTTTATTATTTAAAATAAGTTAATTATTCAAAGTTTAAGAAAATTATTGAGTCTTTTGTCACATTTATCTTTCATTTAAGGGAGTTCTTAACTACTTTACATTTTTAAAAGAGTAGTTTAAAAATAATCAAAAAAATAATAGTGTTTAATAACCTTTAAATTACGTCATTAAATATTCTTGTATACCCCTAATAATATAGATGATGATACCTATAATTATCACTCACATTTATTTGTTGTCGCATCAATAGTTAATAACACTGACTTACAACCAATCTCGGTCATTGTACGAAAGTGTCATACGATGATTTTGTCTCTGCAAAATATCTTTTATTTTTGTCCTAGTTATATGTACATTAAATGACATATACTATATCTTATTTTATCAAAATTTGCTAACATGGGAATTAAAACTATTTGCCAGATCAGTATTTATCCCAAAAAATGAACATATAATTTGTATGTGGAAAAATAGGATGCAGTAATAGGAACGAATCAGATCATGGCACGTGACAAAATCAAATAAGACGAAATATTTGTGTCAATCCAAAGAGAATACAAGAGATTGTCCCCTCGTTTTTCATAAAAAAACCTTAATCGTTTGTTATTTTAAATTGACACATGATCGGACATTTGAAAGAGGTTTCACCTAAGGAGTGCCGCCTTTTTACAACAGGAAGCGATCATAATGACCTTCGGAAGCTCCAGTGGTACGAAGCTAGAAATTATGTTAAATGCTTAATGGTTGAATATTCATTGTATGAGACTCATTACTCATTATTAGTATCTTCTATTGGAAATTTTTATTTTGTTTAACGAATATGATATTCACAAATCACTCTATATGTAAGGCACATTAGAGATGAAAGCGCTTCTAGCATTATTGTGATTTCGTTTGGAATTGATCTAATAGCAAAATACATGAACTTGAAGCCACTTGCACATAGAAATAAGGTGGCAATTAGGATCCAGATCTTAAGGTAGACTAGAAAACTTGCAAATCTTGGATATGCCAGCTTAAAATGATTGTGTATTAATTGTTTGTATATATTGTACAGTCATTTTAGTCTATTGTTAACTCCCATGTGAGTCTACTTTATCAATATGCATAGAGACTATGATATATATAGCAATGATGGAAAAGATTAAATGTTTCTTGGCACAAATTGTCTTTGTTGATTTATATCATTGTTAGGTGAAAGGTCATTTAAGACCTCGAAATTTACAAGTTACTTATATATAGAGGATTTAATTTGTCATAATTTGATGCTATACAAATACATAGTAACTCTAATGAATTACATCGTGTGTGGATGATAAATAAGTAATGTTTAAGAAACAAATAAAGAACAATATTAGCGATTATCTTTTTTTTTGGACTTGTGTCTCATCTTATTAATGAGGACCACTCTCCTAATCGAAGGCATTAATAACTAATTTTCATAGGAAATAAGTCCTATGATTCAACATCCAGAGAATTAAAAAAATTAAAACATTTCCACCAAGAAGGGAACTTAACATATATAGGAATCATTAACCTTTCGAAAACTCACAATAAGAAAATGAGCATTAGCAAAGTAGTACTCCTTCTATATCGTATTACTAATTACGTGATACCTCCATTATAAAAAATAGTTTTAATTTACTTATCCAATTTCTAAAATTAAATGAATTTTACGTGGCTTAATATATATAATTAGTTTTTTTTTAAATTTATAAGCAAATTTCATTTATGTGCGAACTATTGTTTGTTCTAATTGAACTCCTGAACGCATGATAAAATGTTCTAATTAGACAATTTTGAATAAAGCTTTGGAAAATAAAAAGTTGTGTGAGTTCTCAATATTCTATTAGATAGTTAAGTTAACCACATAAAATATTTGGTCATCTTTAATTATACGCATTAACCTCAATTAGAAAACATCTGAATTCTTACAATCCATTAAGAAAAATATGTACAATTAAAAGAAATAATATATTTTATATAATTAACTTAACTAGAGTCTTAAAAATATACACTAAAGTTGATTCGAAAAACCTATACTTATTAAAATTCTTTATCATATATTGAGATGTTGAATAAAAACATGTCATAATTCGAGCTCGATGGACTACTCACCAACCACATAAGGGTATATTGATATATTGTAACACGAAATATGAACCTCAATTCACAAATAATGCTACCCACGTCGACTTTTCTCTTTTCCCCTCGCTCACCATTATATGATTGCATACATCCATCCACACACGTCCTTATCATGCATTCCTTTTTATATTCTTCTCTATAATAAATCTTGGCTCCTTTTTCTTTACTTCCTTTTCTTCTTAAATCTCTTTCTTTTTCAATTAAAAAAATAAATATGCCCACCATATCTGAAATCTCATCTTCCTGTTCTCCAAGTTCATGGCAATTAGAAGACGAACCTATAATTTCTTCTCAATTGAAAATTCAATTAGTTTCCAAGTCAGTATCAGAGAGACTGCTCTCTAAATTCTCCGATTTAACAGAATTTGGTTTTGATTACTCTAAAAGTGGATTATGGTCTCCTCCAATCGAAAGAAGCCACGTGTTCTCCGGCTCACCAACTGGCGAAATCCTTTCACACAGAGAAATGGCTGATAAATTGAATAAAGTATTGAAGAGACATCAGAGAAGAAGACGTTGCTTCAATGTATCAATCTTTTCCCCCCTCTTTTATAAAATTCACGTATTTTAAATAGTTCAGACGTATTTTTGATCCTTCTTTTTCTACTTTTAATTTTTATTTTTGTTGATTTTTTAATATGCAGGCGTGTTTATGTTCTCCGAAGAGATTCTGATCTCAAGCCACATTGAGAGACTAAGAAAATATGCAGGAAAGATCTTTAGTTTCTAATTATTAAGTATTATCCAATTCAAAATGTACATGTTTTTATGTAATTATTAATTAATTATATAGAGGAAGGGATAATTGCTTGATTTATTTTTGTATTTTCTTGGAAATGGGAATTACAATTCTCCATGAAAGCTTTAAAAAAAAGAACAAAAAGATAAAGCCAGAAAGAAGTGGGGGGATATTTAGGACCATTTTTAACGTATATTCCATGGTTTACTTTTATTTTTTCAATAGTATTAAATTAGCATATCAAGACAAACATATATTTTGTTTTATGTTTTATCTTTAATATTTGATTACTTATTCTTCAAATAAATTTCAAAATTGAACAAGTGCTGTTGTACTTGATAACTCCAATTCATGTCTAATGTCTTCTTAGCAAATTTCCAAAATTTTGCAGATAAAATCTCTTTTGCATTTGTTGAAAGACTCAAAAAGTTAAAAATAAGACAATCTTTATTTTGCCAATGGCTGTCATGTCTTAAAGAAATTAATTAAAAAAGAAGTTTAGTACTACTATGCAATCATTCGATTTCCAATTTACTTGTCCTAATTTTCAACTCAATTAACCTTGTTTTTTTCCTACTCATATAGTGTAGTGTCTTAATTTGACAACTCATGCTCGTGGGGCAACTCATGCATGTGATAACTGAGTCTACTTTTGAATTTTTTTTCTACTCAAAATTGTGATGTATGTCCTTTTTTTTTTCAATCTTTTTTCGTTTTTAACATATCAAAATTGGAGCGAAGAATGTTTATCACATAATTAACCCCTCTTATCTCAAAATTGTAGTGTCCAACCTCAAGCAAATTAATGAGTTTGAAACCTCAATGACATGAAATAAAAGACTAAATGGACCAAAGTTATGACATGATAAATAAAGACTAAATGGAAAGCTACATTATATTGACTGTAACGATTGTTAGGCTGATTCATTTAGTTGACCCTATTGCCTCGATAGTGCACTAAATAATTGTGTTAAAAGATAGATTTTCAAAACCTAATTGCCGACTTTAATCTATCTAGTTTTTTTTATTTCACGTCATTTAGATTCTGAGCTTCATATTAAACCTTTTTATCTATAATAGTACTATTACTTTTGTTTTGTTGGTATTCGAAACTTGTTTTTCAATCTCATCGAACGACCTTTTTTCAACTTAACTTTAAATACTATTTTTTTTTTCTGAGGCTCAACAAACGTACCTATTTAGTGATTTCATGTCAATTTATTTTGAGAGTTGTGATAAAATTCAGAAACTCTTTCTCCACTAAATTGTACATTTCACTTTTCTTTGAAAGGAAGAAAAAAGAGATCCCCTGTTTGTAAGGTAAACTGATCAGTGAAAAAAGTCACTAACAAAAAGACATATTTTTCTTACCTAGATTACGTAGCTCATAAAAGAGTTGTCTTTTTCTCACTCACAGCTTTGAATATTGAATTTATCACTGCCTCTGTGCATTCTCTAATTTTGTCTTCTACTTCACACAACTGCACTCATATCTAAAGACTAAAAGGTAATCTTTTTGTTCTTTTGGTGAGACAGGTAATTCTTGTTTCACTTTTTTCCTTGTACCTATAAAGGTTCAGATCGATTTTAAAGTTTATTAATTTGATTTATTGAATATTAATTTATAGATATGTTAAATCGTTATAAATAGAACAACTAAGATATTGACTTATCAATTTTGATTTATTGATTATGGATCGTTATCAATATTTTAATTTTATTAATTTCTGATATGGTGATATTAAAGTACATTGTGATCTTTTCCAAGTCTGAAGTATCTTTTATTATTATATTATTATAGAATGGCGTATGAATGAATTAAATTTTATTTTTCAATTTTTCTTATTTCCATTTTTGAAATACAATAATGTTTGTGTTGTGGTATAGAGCGCAATCAAGATTTCCTGGTCTAGAGCGCAAAAGGAGACAAAATTTAAATAAATAAACTCATGAAAAAAAAACATACAACGAATATACATTTTTTTGAAAATAAATAATTTACATATGTACCAGTTCTATACCATGCAATTTTCCAATTGTAGCTCCGCCTCTTCTCCATGAATACATTTTTTGGTTACTAGAAAATTACCACTTCTCAAAAAGTTACCATCATTATTTATTTATTTTTGTTCATTGTTTGACTTATTCAATTAATACAACATAATAATTGTATTTTATGACTTGCAATGAAATTTTAATTGTAAGAGTTTATATGGTTAAATATCTAATATGAAGGCAACACAATATCTATTCAAGCAAACATGTGAAATAGTAGTTCATTTTTATAGTTCAATAAGGTTCTGCAGATTTACTTAACTCAGAAAACATGATTTCGAAAAAGAAAAATGTGTCTCCAAATATAAATATATATTTGGAAAAGAAAAACGCATCTCATACATAAGAAAATACTATATAAGTAATTTTGGAGAGATCAAGCTTTCCGTTGAAATGAAACCACCCTTATTCATAAGACGTAGAGGCCATAGTCCAACTTGTCCATTTGATGTCATGAATACGATCCAACTTTCACCGTCTATGCAGCGGAGTAGAACTTCACCATTTTTTGGTATGGTTCAAAAAAGTCCAGTATCTTGTATAGTAATAAATTCGGTCCAAAATGCATGCCTTGATGCCATACTCTTTCATTAGCCATAATTTAAAATTGCCCCACCTCTGAAAAACAGAAGTGAAAAAACAAAGCATTCCTTGTAATACTGAAACATCAAACATAAGGCGACTTATTCCCAAATGCATTTGCTCAAGCAATGGTATCTTTGATACACCTCATTTGAAATATTAAATGAAATCATAAAATACTTTTCTGAAAAACCGAGCCAATGAAATGCTCCATGTACAAAGACCAAACAGCTCCTACCATTCAACAAATAGCCAATGCCACTGGAATATTCATCAATTTTATTCCAGGAGCCTTTTTTTAGTGAGAGAAGTTCACTAGAATATACTTTACTAAGATCATATCTGCCACATCAATCTTACCTTATAGTCATCAGTAGTTGAGTCATAACACATTCCGTATGTTAAAAGTCCCTTTGGTGGAAATTCTGGATTGGGAAGTACTATTGATTCTCTTGTGAAGGGGTTCGATAGTAAAAATATATATCTATCACCATAATTACTAACTCTCATAATAGACAAGCCATTGAAACAACAATAGATTTTGACATGCCATGGTTTAAAGTCTGAAGGCAAATCAAGTTTTTGTACAGACTCAACTAATTGAATTGACGATAAAGAAGAGCAATAGTAGGAAAGTACACCATCCTTAAGGTGCGGTCGACAACTAAGAAATTTCTGATAATTTTTGGGCATGATTTAGATGTTTCCTCGTAAAATAAAGGTCGGAGATTAATTTCTTCCAAGATTTTAAAATACATTTGAATCGAAGAAGAGACTGTACAGGTAACCTGTTAAGTATGTCCATAATTATTTCCTCTGGTAAGTGAATATCCATTTCCTAGATAAAACAGACAAGTGAATGTGTTGATATTTTCATAAAATGCAAGATCAAATATGAAAAAAGAAAGGTACATAGAGAGCAAAAGGTTTTCAAGTACAACATGTACACCATACCTTGATTTGGTCGAGAAGACCAACGATTGCTACGAGTGTTGTTTCAAATAAGGAATACTAGTTGAAATAGAGTTCTGCATTGATCTAGTGATTTTGCTTTTACTAGTAACTACTACTATTATTATTTGTAACTTAATTGAAGGACACAAAGAATCTCTAGTCCTAGTAAAAATAAAATTTGATTAAAAAAAGCAGGAGTTTGGGGTTCAAATATATAACTAAGTTTGTTCTATTCCTAAAAAAGGACAAATACATCCCTTTTTATTTCTTAGGGCTCATTTAGTAGCTGGTTAGAGTAATGCATGGATAAGTTATTAAAAAAATGCATAATTACACAAATATTCCTATCATATTTACTTATTCTCTCTCTAGTTTGAAATAATTATATATTATCTCACTAATTAATAATTTCGTATCAGATTTCAAGGCAGATGCATCTAGATATATGTATTTTTGCTACTAGATACATAGGGAGAGAGGCGATCGAGATACGAGGGAGCCGAGTGTGATGGGAGGAAGGCAAGCAAGAGAGCCTGTGTATCCGAAATACATGTGAATCGCACTAGATACACGTATCTGGGATACCAATCCCAGATACATTCTGAACATAGATATATAAGGAGAGAGACGACCAAGAGAGAAAGGAGAGAGGCGAGCAAGAGAGTTAGATAAATTGTCACTACTAAAAAAACTGTGAATACCGACCTATAAATACCGACCTCCGGAGGTCGGTATTCCTTGAAATACCGACCTAAAACCGACATCCCAGCTTAGGTCGGAAAAAGCTTGGTCGCTATTCAATACCGACCTCTGGAGGTCGCTATTCAATACCGACCTCTGGAGGTCGGTATTTACTGACCTCTCGAGGTCGGTTTTTATTTTATGTCGAAATATTCATTTTTTTAAATTCCGACCACTGGAGGTCGGTATTTTTATATTTGTAATGTTGAAATTTCGACCTCCGGAGGTCGGTATTTTTATTTTTGTATTTTTGAAATTCCGACCTCCGGAGGTCGGTATTTTTATTTTTGTAATGTTGAAATTCCGACCTCCGGAGGTCGGTATTTTTATTTTTGGAATGTTGAAATTCCGACCTCCGGAGGTCGGTATTTTTATTTTTGTAATGTTGAAATTCCGACCTCCGGAGGTCGGTATTTTTATTTTTGTAATGTTGAAATTCCGACCTCCGGAGGTCGGTATTTTTATTTTTGTAATATTGAAATTCCGACCTCCGGAGGTCGGTATTTTTATTTTTGTAATGTTGAAATTCCGACCTCCGGAGGTCGGTATTTTTATTTTTGTATTTTTGAAATTCCGACCTCCGGAGGTCGGTATTTTTATTTTTGTAATGTTGAAATTCCGACCTCCGGAGGTCGGTATTTTTATTTTTGTATTTTTGAAATTTC